CGACCCTGGCTGCCCTTGCCGCCCCCTCGGCCGGAGGAGGAAGGGGGCGCTGCCCGCCGCCGCCGGGCTGAATGGCCAGCCGGTTCTTCGCTCCCCCTCAGGCAGAGGCCTCTCCGGTCCTAGCGGCAGAGCCGGGCCTCCCGCTCCGACGAAGCCCCCCGCTCCCCGCTACCTGGAACTCGGCGTACTCCTCGCAGTTGAGGAAAGAGCTGGGCGCCGCCATCTTGGAGAGGCCGGAGAGCCGCGAGGGCAGCCAATCGGGAGGCGCGGCGCCACCACGGCCACGCCCCCCGCCCGGGCCTCCAATCAGGAGAGAGGCCGCTTTGTCCCAAGCGCGGCTTGTGGGGCTCGTTTCCCCGAGGGGCATCTAGTCCAACCCCCGGCCAGGCTGCAGGGATTGAAGTCAGAGCTGCCAACGTTTCCCTTTTCTTCCGAGGAATCCTATTTGGAATAAGGGAATGTCCCTTAAAAAAAGTAGGAAGAAGAAGAAGAAGAGTTTGGATTTGATATCCCGCTTTATCACTACCCGAAGGAGTCTCAAAGCGGCTAACATTCTCCTTTCCCTTCCTCCCCCACAACAAACCCTCTGTGAGGTGAGTGGGGCTGAGAGACTTCAAAGAAGTGTGACTAGCCCAAGGTCACCCAGCAGCTGTATGTAGAGGAGCAGAGACGCGAACCCGGTTCCCCAGATTACGAGTCTACCGCTCTTAACCATTACACCAAGCTGGCTCTCAGGAAAGTTGACAGCTATGATTTAAGTGCCAGATTTAGGTATAAGCTAAACAAGCTCCAGTTTAGGACCCCACACTCTTGGGGGGATCAAAAAAATTAAAGGGGAAAATTAACTAGATGTACATTTCCAAGTGTACGTGACACAACCTTGATGGCAGAAAGCGAGGAGGCACCACCCATGGCTCTGACCATCAGAAAGGTCTTCTTGATGTGGGTTGCGAACATGCCTCCCGCACGGATCTCGTTCGCAACCCAGGGGTCCACTGTATATTTGTGTGTGACACCCCGTCTTCACCCACCTTTACATAGGGTGATATTCAATGCTAGTCTTACTCAGAGTACAGGGGTTAGTAGACATCGTTACTTCGGTTCATTCATTTCAACAGACTTGAATATGGCTTAGTTTAATGCAACCCATAGTACCAAGGAGCAGGGGGTTTGGGGGGGGGCAGGGAGTTTTAAAGCCCAGACCAGTGCCTGGAAAGTGCAAAATGAAATCTGGAAAAGCCTGAACATTTGCTCAGAATAGACTCTGTGAATTTTATGGCCTTAACTTGCTTGTGTTCATTAAAACTGAGTAAAACGCAGCTGAATACCACCCAAAGGTAGCCACATGGGCCTGGGCATGTCTACTCAGAAGCAAGTCCTGTTGAATTCAATGGGGCCTACTCCACCTGCTTTTTCTCCCTCCCAGCCTAGGTAAAGGAACCCCTGACCATTAGGTCCAGTCATGACCGACTCTGGGGTTGCGACGCTCATCTCGCTTTACTGGCCGAGGGAGCCGGCATACAGCTTCCAGGTCATGTGGCCAGCATGACTAAACCACTTCTGGTGAACCAGAGCAGCGCACAGAAACGCCGTTTACCTTCCCGCCGGAGCGGTACCTATTTATCTACTTGCACATTGATGTGCTTTCAAACTGCTAGGTTGGCAGGAGCTGGGACTGAGCAACGGGAGCTCACCCCGTCGCAGGGATTTGAACCGCCTACCTTCTGATTGGCAAGTCCTAGGCTCTGTGGTTTAACCCACAGCGCCACCCGCATCCCTCCCTCCCAGCCTAGGCTGGCTCTAAAATGATGAAAAAAATTGAAGGGATATCTGCAGTGCTAATCATTTTCTCTACTTGTGGACAAAGGGAGAAAAGCCTACAGGGTTTCATGCCCTGAAAGCCAGTGTATAAAGCTGTTGCGTAACTGCATAAATAACTAAAATGAAGGCAGAGCAGTCTGGGTTGAGGTCATTTGGTAGGTCATTTGGTAGAAGGGGAGGAGAAACCATGTATGAGACCTTTGACCAGAGTCCAGGAAAGTCTTGAAACCACACAGTTGCCACAGGGGGAAGGAGTTGAGGTGAAAGGTTGCAGATCATGCTGAAAAATATTTCTGCAAACTTAATGTTCCACCATGTATACATTATCTTTGTATTTGTGGGGTGTCCAGATCTTGTAAGATTTGTGGGAACTAATCAAAATCAGCACTGGGAGAAAACCAGCAACATTAATTGGATGAGCGAACTGCTGGCCTTGTATTGCTTCTACAACAGTACCTGTTGCACATTGACATTAATGGACCTAAGTCAGTCAAGGTCATTAATTTCAATGGGTCTACTCTAACTAAAATTAGTTGACTACAGTCCAGATAATCCAGGCCTGTCAACTGGAGCCTGCTGCTGTTGTCTCACTAGGAATGCCCTCTGAGATATCACTAGACCTCTTGGCTGCTGACTGTTGGGGGTGGGGATGTTGTTCGCTGCCACTATTTTTTATTGTTTATAAATTTATTATTTTGTTTCTTTTCTATAAGCAGCTGCAAGAATTATGGTGCTGGATAAATTAAAAAATAATAATAAACTCAATCTGCCTTTCTCAAGTCTTCTGTCTCTGGGGATGAACACCTGGCACTTGCTTAAGAATACACAACTTGTTGTACATGCAGTTGCGTTATTTGAGGCTGAATTAACCAAGAATAAAACCTGAGCTATGCAGATGCCTGAACGGTGGCAGAGTGCTGAGCTAATAGAATGACCTGCTCCACTGCAGCCTATAGGTATATATCACATTTTCAAAAGTTTAGATTCCAAGAGGGGTAACCATGAGTTAGTCTGTTGCAGCAAAAAACCAAACTCCAAACCCCAAAGAGTTTTATTGCACCTTAAAAATGAATGGCCACTGGGCCAGAATCTGGGCCTGAGAGCCATGCCAACCAAATTCTGTCTTTTTCTGCTTTTCAACTCTCACTGCTCGCTCTCTCTCACAAATCAGGGAGAACTAGAAATACTACTCTTGGTTATTTCTAGCAAAACAGGACCAAAACAGGCATCCCAGACACGCCACTTCTTTACTTCCAGCCCTAGTTCTCACCAACTTTAGACTGCTCGTAAGATGGGTAAATGCTCTTCTAAACAACAACAAAAACATGGGGTTTTTGTTTAGTTGTTTAGTCGTGTCGGCCTCTTCGTGACCCCCTGGACCAGAGCATGCCAGGCACTCCTGTCTTCCACTGCCTCCCACAGTTTGGTCAAACTCATGCTGGTAGCTTCAAGAACACTATCCAACCATCTCGTCCTCTGTCGTCCCCTTCTCCTTGTGCCCTCCATCTTTCCCAGCATCAGGGTCTTTTCCAGGGAGTCTTCTCTTCTCATGATGTGGCCAAAGTCTTGGAGCCTCAGCTTCAGGATCTGTCCTTCCAGTGAGCACTCAGGGCTGATTTCCTTCAGAATGGAGAGGTTTGATCTTCTTGCAGTCCATGGGACTCTCAAGAGTCTCCTCCAGCACCAGAATTCAAAAGCATCAATTCTTCGGCGATAAGTACGTACGGTAACCAGAGGTACCACTGTATTTGCTGCTGCAATACATGGTGTTGTATTTTGGGAATTATCCAGTGCTTTTATTCTGGGGGGACGCAGACCCCTCAACGTTTTGTGCATCTAGGTTTGGCCCCATTGAGGGGCAGGATTTCAGTATGAGTAGGAAAAGGAGAGGACAGTGGTACTTCAGGTTACAGACGCTTCAGGTTGCATAATCTGCTAACCCAGAAATATTACCTCGGGTTCAGAACTTTGCTTCAGGATCAGAACAGAAATCGTGCTGTGGCAGCAGGAGGCCCCATTAGCTAAAGTGGTGCTTCAGGTTTAGAACAGTTTCAGCTTAAGAACGGACCTCCAGAACGAATTAAGTACTTAACCCGAGGTACCACTGTAATGGGGAAGGTTTTCCACCACTTTCAGACCACATACAAAGTCTGTCTTGGGGGAAGTTAAAAATAGGTAGTTTGCTCCATTGTTCTTTGGATTCCTGCAGATTGAGCTTCTGGATCAATCTTTGAGGCAACCCAATTTCGGGGGCAAAGCTAGACTAATATGACCCATTGATTTCACTAGGGATAGTCCACCAAACCAAGTACAGTGGTGCCTCGGGTTACATACACCTCAGGTTACAGACTCCGCTAACCCAGAAATAGTGCTTCAGGTTAAGAACTTTGCTTCAAGATGAGAACAGAAATCATGCTCCGGCGGCGTGGCGGCAGCAGGAGGCCCCATTAGCTAAAGTGGTGATTCAGGTTTAGAACAGTTTCAGGTTAAGAACGGACCTCCAGAACGAATTAAGTACGTAACCAGAGGTACCACTGTATTTGGGTAGAAGGTGTTCGCTAACACGATCCAGAAGGAAGGCTGGCATGCATTAAGAAGTGCAATACAGTGGTACCTCGGGTTACATACACTTCAGGTTACAGACACTTCAGGTTACAGACTCCGCTAACCCAGAAACAGTGCCTCGGGTTAAGAACTTTGCTTCAGGATGAGAACAGAAATCGAGGCCCCATTAGCGGAAGTGGTGCTTCGGGTTAAGAACCGTTTCAGGTTAAGAACGGACCTCCGGAACGAATTAAGTTCTTAACCCGAGGTACCGCAGTACAGCCTTGTCGTCCTCCTTTCCCAATCCGTTGCTCCCTATCCAGGTCTGACTTGTCCCTCATAGAGATTTCTCAGGAGGCAGGTGAGCGGCGTCCTCCTCCTCCTCGCGAGTAAAGCGCGGCAGCTCCGCGCCGAGGGAGGCGGGCCTGTGGGCGGCGGCGGCGGCCCAGTTGCCTCTTCCCCGCCCGCCATTCGGCCTCCCCTCGGCCCGGCCCACAGCTCCTCCTCCTCCCGCTGCTTCTGCTTCTCGGCTCCGCTCCTGACCTCCGTTTCGTCAGCGGGCGACCGGGGCCTTCTTTCCGCGGGGCCATGGCTGCAGCTGCCGGTGAGTGCCTCTGCCGCCGCGCCGGGCCTCCGCCCTTGCCCGACCTCGGAGGGGGGCCGGCGGGGCCGGCGAGGCGGAGCCGGGGCCGGGAGCAGCCGAAGCGAAGGGCCGGCTGGGCGGACCCGGGGAGCCCCGGCTTCAGGTGGTGCAGCTCGCCCGGGCGACCCTGGCGGGGCTGTTGGGGGGAGCAGAGGAGGAGACACCTTGCAGGAAAAGGGGGAGAGAAATGCAAAGTATTCTGGGCATAACATACTCCAGGGTGGGAGAGGAGCAAGAATGTATTGGTAAATATGGATTAATACAGTAGTAATGTATTGGTAAATATTGATTTGTGTTGGACTTAGGGCAGGCCAAATACTTCATCACTAAAAATGTTTTAAGGGCTGTTGTCAACAAAAATTGCCCTTTTCCCTTATGGGGTATCCAAGAGCCCATAGAGTCCTTACATAGGTTCCCTATTGGTAGGAGAGAATAACAGAGGCCAACCAGAGAATATTGAGAAGCAAAGCAGCTAGTAAGCCTGATCTTTATTGATCTGTTGCAACTGGGTTCTCCCCCACATGTAGGAAAGGAAGAGGACCCAGAAAAATGCTGTGCAAGGCCTTATATGGACTTTTGAAATTCCCATCCTGTAGATCAAGACCACCCCCAGAAACATCATACCTACATCACAGAAAAAGGCGGTCTAAACAGAAATTTGAATGTTGTTTTTCTCCTGTCCTTGTTTATCTCCTGTCTGGCAGATCACCTGTTAATGCTCACTTGACTGGATACCCTGGGGAGCCTAGCCAGTCTTTTGTAGTGATAAATACTTAGTTCCTGGGCCAGATCACAAGCTCACACCCTGTTCAAACACAGACATACCCTTAAGACAGGATTTGTGAAGGAAAAGACAATGGGGAGGCTTTTCCACTTTGACCTTGCAGAGAAAACATTTGCTCAGTTTAGGAATCAAAATGGTTCCAGGTTGGTCTTCCTGTGCTGATCTATGTCCTGTCACAGGACGCCTGACCAAATCTTAACTAGCTTGGAAAACCTAGTCTGTGGCTAATTTTTGACACTTTGAAAAACGTGCGGCTTTTTCTGCTTTCTTGTCTTAGTGTTTTGAACAACCCACTAGATATTTTGATTATGACTTAAGTGTGAGATGGCTACTGAATAGGTTTGAGTACCCAAAACCTTATCTTTTCCTGTTGTGACATTATGGAACCTATCAGGGTACCTTCTGATGAGCTTTCTCCCCCACAGGATTTTGTTGCTGTTGCTCTTATTAAAATTTCCAAAAAGAAACAAAAGCAAATGCAGTCAGAGGATACTCAAGGGCAGGCTTTGGGTAACAGGTCGTCCTGGGCGAGCACAAAATTTGGCACCCCCCACCCAAATAGGTCATTGTTCTTCCTACTGCTTTGTGCCCCCTCAGCTTGGCGCCTGGTGCGGGAGAACTGCCTGCACCATCTTGAATCCGGCGCTGTTGTACTTCTACCAGCACATCTTGCAGAGTTCAGTGGCGCTTTCCCTCTTAAATTCACTGTTTTGCTGAAGGACCTGAAGCCAAGAGTAGGGTCTTCTGCGTCGTGTTACGTTTCTCTCTTTATTCTGCAACTTTTTCTAACATGTCACCTTTCTCCCCCCCCCCTCCTCCTCCCAGGCGTAGTTGTTAGGATTTTGGACAAACGTCTTCCTTCTGCCCTGCGTGCAAGTGGAGGACCATGCCGCTTCGTGAACAGGAGGATGTGCAGCAAAACCCAAGCAGAGAATGTGCAGAAGCCCAAACCCCAGGCTTCAGGTAAACCAGAATTATCTCCGTGCTTGATTGGTAATATGGTGTTTCACGGAATCTGCTCCCCAAGGATTTGTGTGTAGGGTGGCAGTGAAAGCAGCCCTTTGTGTAAATAACTGCTTTTTGATGACCCGTCATTGACTACTATGTACAAATTCATTTCTTTCTTTTCTGCCATGTTCGGTCATGCTGGAAAGAGCTGGGCATATAACTACCGTATTATTTGCTCTATAAGACTCACTTTTTCCCTCCTAAAAAGTAAGGGGAAATGTGTGTGCATCTTATGGAGCGAATGCAGGCTGCGCAGCTATCCCAGAAGCCAGAACAGCAAGAGGGATCGCTGCTTTCACTGCACAGCGATCCCTCTTGCTGTTCTGGCTTCTGAGATTCAGAATATTTTTTTTCTTGTTTTCCTCCTCCAAAAACTAGGTGCGTCTTGTGGTCTGGTGTATCTTATAGAGCGAAAAATACGGTATAGGTTCCAGCAGCATGCCTGGAAATCCAACATGTGTATTTGCATGTGACTGCCTCTGGTACTGATTGGGGAACATGGCCCACCCCCAGTAGTTTTTTAAATTGTTCTATATGCATGCCCCAAATCAGATTTCTTTTTCCAGTATCTGAAAGAATGGGGGCGTATCCACGTGTGCATGTAGCCCATTAACACTGAAGGAAAAGGTATAGCGCAATGGGAAGTAGTTGTTGACTGGAAATTAGGACAGTGAGTGAACCCCGTGCATTCTCTGTATTGAGGATCTTATTTTCTTCGTTAAATTTGTGCAATTTCAAAATGAGGAAGTAGATCCACATACATTGTATGCAATGTGTGTGCTAGCTTTACCTTCATGTGGTGACTTGCTGTTTGATTTCCTTTCCCTATAAACTTTTGACTAACCCTCCTTTCTATGGCTATGTTTGCTTAGCTATGTATGCTACCATATTTTGCAAGCCAAAGTGCATATGTGAGACTTGCTGAAATCAGGCCTTGTCTGTCTAAAGGGTTTTGGTGACTAAGGTTACAATCCTAACTTAATTTACCTGGGAGTAAGCCCTACTTCTGAGTTGACGGGCAGCCACTAAGGCAGGCATCCCCAAACTCGGCCCTCCAGATGTTTTGGGACTACAATTCCCATCATCCCTGACCACTGGTCCTGTTAGCTAGGGATGATGGGAGTTGTAGTCCCAAAACATCTGGAGGGCCGAGTTTGGGGATGCCTGCACTAAGGACTTGGAAGTGGTTGATCATTAGTAAATGAAGGTGTCTTTGTGAAGGAAGGTGGATGGCTTGAAGATACTTCAGCCCATATTTTCTGAACTTGTTACTATCTAGAAGCATTAAATCCTTGAATCTCCGGTTGCACCTTTGCCTTTCCGACTGTTTAGCATTTGGGACCAGCTGTCCCCCCACCACACACTTTTTTTTTGGTAGATAGACACTCATGAATAGGGAATGGGACATGATTGTTGTCTTCAAACATACTGGTTGGTAGGAGCTGAAGAATTTTCCCCTTCTTATCAGCAGTCTGAAATGCAGACAGCTTGCTACTGGTATTTTAAGCTCCTAAACCCCCCTGGTCAAGACTCTAATTCTTTAATCATTCAGAAGTGGCTCAGTGTGCAAAGTGTTTTATCTACATGCAGAAAAAAAACCCCACAGGCTCAAAACCATAGTTGGTAGGATCAGGGCTAGCAATAAGTAGAGCTAGCCTACACTCTTGCAGACATGTACATACATGACACCCCCCCCCTTGCAGAGGAGACAGGCGCCATCTTTCTATCTCTCCTGCACACAGCTGAGAAGAGGGTGATCCAGAGTCCCAGGACTTACTACGCTGCTGGCTTGTTTCCCGATCAGCAGAGTGGGGAGAGACTGTGTAATCCCAGCCCATATCTCTCCTCTGCCACTGCTAAGATGATCAGGAATAGCTGAGCAGTGGATAAAAGGGGACAGTTTCAGGTACCTTGAGGTGGCAGCTGCTAATGAAACCAAGTTCCCCTTCCCCTCTCAAGATAAGCAAGCGAGGCTGAAGCTAGATGGATTGGCTTCTGTATTGGTCACTGAGAAAGTGAATCCACTTCTTCTTCAGCCAATAATAATAATAATAATAATAATAATAAATAATTTATTATTTATACCCCGCCCATCTGGCTGAGTTTCCCCAGCCACTCTGGGCGGCTTCCAATCAAGTGTTAAAAACAATACAGCATTAAATATTAAAAACTTCCCTAAAAAGGGCTGCCTTCAGATGTCTTCTAAAAAGAAGATAGCTGCTTATTTCCTTCACATCTGAAGGGAGGGCGTTCCACAGGGCAGGTGCCACTCCCGAGAAGGCCCTCTGCCTGGTTCCCTGTAACCTCACTTCTCGCAATGAGGGAACCGCCAGAAGGCCCTTGGTGCTGGACCTCAGTGTCTGGGCAGAACAATGGAGGTGGAGACCCTCCTTCAGGTATACAGGACCGAGGCCGTTTAGGGCTTTAAAGGTCAATACCAACACTTTGAATTGTGCAAGGAAACTCAGTACAGAGCTGATCAGGCTGGTGAAGCAATGACAGAGTGCTCTGCTTTGTCATCCTGACTGGTGGAGCAGGGACGCTGAGGAGAGTCCAACAGAGACAGATGAAGGCCTGAGGGGGCCAGTGGCTCCCCATACCTCAAGTAATTGGCTGTGCTGCAAGAGATCGCAATCTCGATTCCACCTTTTGGATAAGGTGTTTGGTTCTCAAGCTCTGCATTTTATCTCCCATGTTTTCTACAGCCTCTTTCAAAGTTCCAGGACACAAGCCCAGTGACTGGGACAAGAAGTTGTTGCTATGGACGGGCCGTTTCAAGAAAGAAGAGGATATACCAGAAACAGTGTCGTAAGTCTGAGTTTCACAAACCAAGCATTTAAAAAACTGCTTTAAATTGTACTTCTAGTGTAGCTAAAATGACTCCATATTTGACTCCAGTAATTATTTCATGCTAACGCTGGGATATGCCCTTCGCAAAGGAATGAGGTTAATACACTTTTATCTCCACCACCCATTTTTTTTAATCAGTCAAATGCAGATAGCTATTACAGCAAGATGTTCAAATTATTATTGGCTGCGTTCACACATAACACAATAAGTCATGGCTTGTTTTAACCACGTCTTGTTCAACGAACCATAGGTTGTCTCATAGGCAGGAAAGCAAGCCGCAGCTTGTGTCTTCAGCTTGTTTTCCAGCTACTCTTGCCTTGCACATCTGTAGCTTGGTGAAGGATAGGGTAATACAGACTGTGGCGAAGCAAGACTGTTTGGTTTGAACATAACGCTAAACAGTGGATCTTGTAAGTTAACCACAAATATTGGCTCCACATTATGGTTTGTTGTTAGAAAACAGACCTTGGTTAGTTTGGGTTGGGTGTGGATGTTCAAACAAGCCATACTCTGGGAAAGCAAACCATGGCTTAGCATTAAGCGCAAACCAGGCTAAAATTGCCATTGGCATAATTCTGGTTGTAATTTCTGGTAATATTCAGAGAATCCACAATATTTTATAAAAGATGAGTGATTGCGGGTATGTGGATTAGGAGGTGTAATGTGGCTTGGCTACATTTTAATCCCATCACAAGTAGTCAGGTGCAAGCTATGCTCTGACAGAGGGTTCTGAAATTCTCCTTGGAGACGGGCAGGCAAAGAAGGATCAACTTGTGTGCTGTCTACCTCTGCTTATTTCTTTGTCTTTCCCTCTGCCAATGTCTAGAAAACCAGTGTGTTACGCAGAGATAAACAGAGGCAGCCTGTTTTTTCACTGTGCGTCATGCGATGAGCATAAGGTGTAGGCTGGTTTTTAGGCCTGAGCCCCTTGAACACTGTCCATCTTGGGGTTCTGAGCTTTCAGTAGATACAGGCTGGATAAAATTGGTGTTCATCTGACCTGTATCAAAGCCTTTTCCAGCCTTATGAAGACTATGTTAGTTTTACATGGAGCAGTGAAGCATTTCAGAGAGCCTCATCTTCCTGTGCTGCTTTGGTCTGTGTGCTATTTGACTATGTGTCTCAAGGAAATCCTATCAACAAAGAATATTATTGGGCTTGCTGAGTGCTTTTGTAGCTTCCTATCATATGTTCTTTGCAGTAGTAGTCGCCCAGTGCGAAAAATAGTAGCGTAGGGCCTCTGCAAGGCTGATCAAGGGATCCAGACACTCAAAGCTTGCTGCTTGTTTTCAGCTGCGTCGAAGAGCAAAGCAATCGGCAGCAGCTGCCAGAAGGAACTGACTTTGAACTGTGATTACATTATCAGTTCTGTTCCCAGAAGTTACTGACTCTGTCATGCATGTTACTGATCCCACCAATTAACTACTCAAACGGCAAACGCTTAATGAAATTGTAGAAACAGGCACAACGACAGATTCGGGCAGAATAGATTGCACAGAGCTTCCCAGGCTTTTGTGTTAGCTCTTCCTTGATACAGTTCTGGACCAAGAATTATTTTGCAGATGGGCTTTTAGTGCTGAGTGCTTAAAAAGCTGCAAAGCAGATTTTGTGGGAATCCCGTTAGGTTTATAGCGAGGGTGCTGAAGCACTAACCCTAATATTCTGAGATTTAGTCAGCTGTTTGCTTATTATCTTATTGAACATTTTTTCACACTGTTGACAGAGGTGATGACTACATCTTGGCTTGGAAAGGCAACATTAGCGATGTTTCCTCTCATAGGTTCTTTCCAGCTTTGACTTAATTGTGGTAGCAAGTTCCGCAGTTTAACTATGCGCTGTGTGAAGAAGCTTGGCCAAAATATTTCACCGTCCAGCTTCACTGGATGACCCCGGGCTCTGGATGACCCTTCTCTCTAGAACCCAGGTAAGCGTCTATAACCCTGGGTTCTAGAGAGAAAAGTATCTCTGGACCCACTTTCTTCTTTCTGTGCATCATTTTACATAGCTTTGTGGTGTTCCCCTTTACTTTCTTTTCCAAACTAAAAAACCCCAAACGTTGTAACCTTTGCTCATAGGCAAGTTCTTTCGTCCCCTGGTCATTTTGATTGCCATCTTCTCAACCTTTTCCAGCTTTGCAATATCCTTTTGTGGGCTGAGGAGACCAGAAATGTAGACAGTTCAGTCACACCATGGATTTGTACAATGGTACTGGCTGTTTTATTTTCTGCTCCTTTTCTCATGACTCCTAGCATAGAATTCACCTTCCTCACAGCTGCCACAAATTGGGTTATCTGCCATGACCCAAGAACCTTTTTGTAGTGACTGCCAGCTTAGATCCTATCAGTTGGATAGATCCCTCTGGTGAAGTTGAGGGCTGCTGCTGCTGCTGTTTTGCCCCAGTATAAATCACTTTTCACTTGCTTACATTGAATGGCATTTTCTATTTGCCCCTTCACTCAGACCTTCTCAAGCTCCTCTGTGTCCTTAGTTGTTGGTAGATCATATGGGGACATCCTTGCGCACCGGGAATCGGGTTGTGTTGGCCTGTCTATTATGGCTGCCGAGTGATGACACTGTCTTTAATACGGAATAAGCCATGGAAGAGAGAGATAACCATCAGGAGGGGACCATACTGACATTTCTTCACTGTCAGAAGATCTCTTTTCTTCAGAAGTCCCACACTGTCTGTCTCTCTGCCTGGTCAGGTCCATTCAAGGGTTGATTTTGTATCGTGCAAGTATTCCTTTCCCCTTCTCTCAACCTTGCTTTGCAGCATCAGTGTGAAGATTAAGCTCCTGAGCACTCGGCTCCTCCTCCTCCTAGTGCCTGCTAGTTTTTCTCCCTCCCTCAGAAGAGACGGGACCTGTTGGTCCTTTTGAAGGTCAGAGTTGTGTCCTACCTCATTCTAGGTCCTACCTCTGCATGCCTCCCAATTCTGCTCTCCTGGTCTAAGGAGTTCAAAAGCAGCCAAGCAGGACTGGGCCAAGCCAGCAGTTCTGCCTGAATAAGAAAAAAAATCCAGACACTTTTAACCCAAGCTCCAGGGCAGGGGTCGGCAACCTGCAGCCCATGGGCCACAGGCGGCCCTCGGGTCGTTTAAACGGCCCCCGAGCCGTTTGAATATGCTGAGTTGGCGAAAATGACTGATAAGATTAGATACCAAAAAGTAACAAAGTTTGAAGAGGAGTGGAGTAAATTTGTTGTGTATATACGGAATAACTGTAGAAGTTTAAAAACCTGTAGCAGGGTTAACTTAAATCTTGTGATGTGGATGGAATGTAAATAAGAATCTGTAAGAGTGGGTGTTAGTTTGTGAAAGCCGAAGCAGGGAAGGAAGGAAGTCTGAGCGCGACAAAGCACAGGGTAAATAAGAAAACACTAAGATGCTGGATGCAAGAGTTTATGTAAGAGTTTATGTTTTAATTGACTTCGTTTTTGGAAATTTGACTTATGTTTTTATTTGTTTTTGCTTTTGAAAATCTAATAAAAAGTATTTTTTACAAAAAAATAAATGGCCCCCGAGCCGAGCTGCCTGCTCGGAGAGACCCCCTTGCACTGTGCTAAACTGGTGCAGCGCGGAGCAGGGACTTGCTTCCGCGGTGCCAGAAATCATGTTTGCGCAGACGCCGAAAATCGCGTCTGCGCAGATGCGATCTGGCCCATGGAGCCATCTCTGTGGGAGTGAACCAGCCCCGGCCCCTGCTCTAGGGGTTATGTAGTCCCCCGAATGGTACAATAATGGGTTTTGCCTTATGGCTTAGCAGCCTTTAACTAGATTCTTCCTTTGATTTCCCCCCATTAACAAGATGGTCAAGGCAGTGGAAGCAGCTATGGCTTGACAATGCAAATCCATGACAGTTAATTTAGGATAATCCATTCTTTAAAGGTTCGAGATGGTTGATGCAGCGAGGAACAAGATGCGTGTGAAGATCAGCTACGTAATGATTGCCTTGACAATCATGGGCTGCATAATGATGGTCATTCTGGGGAAGCGGGTGAGTACAAGAGAGCTAAGAGGTTGGCAATAGCGTGGGGGGAAAGAGCTAATGGACCAGCTTAACCTCTCAGGAACAGCAACTAAATTGTGGGAATACTGCAGCAGGGAAAATGTGGGTGGTTGTATTTTTAATAAAGTAAATGGAAGGATAAACTATAGTTTACGTAAGAGATGGGGGGAGGGAGAGAGGAAGAAAGAGGGAATTAGAATCAAAGTCAGGGTAGGATAGGCATGGGAATGGGAATTTTCCCAAATGTGGAATTCAGTGCATTATCAACAGTTTATGTCAATGGCTCTGTGGGAGATTGCTTATAGTTTTCATAAAAAATATACTGTAATGTTAGCTGAAAACTGCAATATGGAGAGGGATTGAAATGGCCCCCCCCTCCGGCAGACAGGATTACAGCATCATGTTTGGCATCTCCATTTCTTGATGTTTACCGTGTTTTTCGCTCTATAAGACGCACCAGACCACAAGACGCACCTAGTTTTTGGAGGAGGGAAACAAGAAAAAAAATATTCTGAATCTCAGAAGCCAGAACAGCAAGAGGGATCGCTGCGCAGTGAAAGCAGCAATCCCTCTTGCTGTTCTGGCTTCTGGGATAGCTGCGCAGCCTGCATTCGCTCCATAACACACACACACACACACACATTTCCACTTACTTTTTGGGAGGGAAAAAGTGAGTCTTATAGAGCAAAAAATACGGTAGTTACTCTTTTCTGCCTTTTCTTGAAAGCTCTGCTATTATCTCTTAAGGTGAGCAGGAGAGGATATATATGGGGGCTCTTCGTCCTGTTATCATTACTTGTTTCCTGAAATAAAGAAATTAACCTGTCTGACATAGAACCAAACAGTCTGGGTTCAAGTCAAGTAGTGCACAGTCTTCCATTGAGTGGTCATTTCATAAGTCCTGGAGTCTAAAAAGCCTTTCAAGTCTTCATACAGCAAACCTGCAACTTACTTATGGGTTACATTCCAGGAATCACACCTGAAGCCAAAATAATGTATAGTCACATGGTCACTTTTCTTACATGCTTCTGTGGTCTCTTCTTTGCTGCAGGCTGTTGAGAGGCACGAATCCCTGACGAGCCAGAATCTGGAAAAAAAAGCTCGCTGGAGGGAGGAGGCCGCTCAGAGTGTCTCTGCCAAACCATAGTCAAGGGGAAGGACAATACTTCAGAAGGCACAAGATGTACTACTATCTTTTAATTATAGAGGAGGAGGAGGGGCTTGAGGGAAGGCATATTCATTAGTCAAGGGTTGCTTTCGAGCTTCCAGGAAATAAAATTATTTTGTGGTAATCCTATGAAGATTTCATATTTTGCTAGTATCCAGTAACTATTCAGTTTCAAAGAAAGCTAAATACAGTACCCAATTCCGTTCAGTTACTGTATGTATTAAAATATTCATTGCACCTTCTGTATTGGTCGATAGGCTTGTTGAAGCAAGGTATTGAATTCACCTTGAGTGACTAATAGCATACATAGGAATCTTTCTCTCTCTACACACACACACACACACACGGTGGTAGCATGGGTATCTTAATGGTGTGTGACCTAACGCTTTGAAACAGCAGTAATGGAACGTAGACGCTACCGCTTGCTCTCATATCACCTACCAGCCGTGAATGTTTTGGGATGCTAATATCTGTAATAATTCTGGTTTTCTGTTCTGTTGATATCATCCTAAAACCTTTGATTCTAAACTTCATAACCTCTGGCATCTTCATTATTTCAGGATATAACTGGCATATGTGATTCAGCTCCAGTGCAGAACAAGTGCTCAGAACACAAAACTCATACATCGAAGTTGACATGGCGCCCAATTCAAAAGTCTTTGATAAACACAGGGAAGTTCGGAGGTCAGAAAGTCTGGCTATGCGTGAATAGACAAGTCTTGGCTCTGAGGATCATGCACTCTAAATCCAACACAGAGGATAGCACTAAAAGGAGATACTATTCAGGACTTCAATCCTATACCCACTTACATGGGTGTAATGCCCTAATGGCTTCAAGGAAGTATTAACAATTTTGGGGATAAAGTGGGGGTCTGTGGAACCCACAGGAAAATTGGCAAGGGTCCTTGGAACACTTTCCTAACACTACTCTCTGGGATTAGTTGCTGATGTAGGAACAGAAACACAATAAAAGTGTGTTCCTGGTACCTAGCAATCTCCCTAAAATTGGCAACAAAAGCTGCAGAAAATTACTTATACAGTCATACCTTGATTCTCAAATATAATTGGTTCCAGAATTCCATTCGAATTCTGAAAACGTTCGAAAACCAAGGTGTGGCTTCCGATTGGCTGCAGGAGCTTCCTGCACTCAATTGGAAGCAGCGTTGGAACATTCAGCTTCCAAAAGACATTCACAAACCTGAACACTCACCTCTGGGGTTGCGGCGTTCGGGAGCCAAAATGTACGAGCACCAAAGCATTCGAGAACCAAGGTATGACTGTACTCACCCAGGGCTTGATCAGTCCGAATAAGGCCAATTCCAAAAACCAGGCTTGGACCCACACTGAAATGGGCCGAGATAATCAGCATCATCCACGATTACCTCCAGTTGCTCTGCCATTACCCTCTTGACCAATAATGGGGCATTTGCAACTTGTCAGTCACCATCTGGTCCAGGTTTGACTTCTTTAAGAAATAGGTGCACTGATGCCTCTCTCTAAGAGCAACAGAGTCCACAAAACTATGCTAGGCATAAGATGCCACAACCGTTGCATTAAGATCATTCCAAAGACAAGTGTCTTCATCCTCGAAAGTGCTGCCCAAACATGTCAAAGTGGGACTTGGATAGATCCAGGGTCAGCAGCAGCCATATGGGTACTTGATGCAATGGAGGCAGCGCAGTATGATTTTGCAGTGCTCACCACCATATGGTAGGTGCTGCAATTAAGCACTCAAACCAGTGTTCATTATACCAGTATAGGTAAATAATTCCATGTAGGTAAGAAACAGCTACAGCAAAGATTTAGCACAAACCACTCTTTCAGTTTGGGTCTACTTAGCCTTGCCACCATGCATAGGTAAAGGGACCCCTGACAGTTAAGTCCAGTTGTGGACGACTCTGGGGTTGCGGCACTCATCTTACTTTATTGGCCGAGGGAGCTGGCGTACAGCTTCTGGGTCATGTGGCCAGCATGACTAAGCCGCTTCTGGTGAACCAGAGCAGCGCACGGAAACGCCGTTTATCTTCCCGCTGGAGTGGTACCTATTTATCTACTTGCACTTCGTGCTTTCGAACTGCTAGGTTGGCAGGAGCAAGGACCGAGCAATGGGAGCTCACCCCGTCGCGGGGATTCGAACCGCCGACCTTCTGATTGGCAAGCCCTTGGCTTGTGATTTAACGCACAGTACCACCCGCGTCCCTTGCATACTAGTGCTCAAATGACACAGGCTTTCTGTTGTTGAAAAGTTGTGATATAATTTGGCAAAAACAGAGACGCCAAGGGAAGGGGTTATGGCTCATTAATGGCCCCTCACCCGTCTTTTCCCCATAAAGCACTGTGCATAGAAGCACACGCAGCATAGAATCATAGAACTGTAGAGTTGGAAGGGGCCACAAAGGTTGTCTAGTCCAACCCCCTGCAATGCGGGAAACGTTTGCCCAGTGTAGGGTGTGAATCCACAATCTTGAGATCAAGTCCAAGTAAAAGTGGGGTTGTATGGAGTGTAGGTTGTAAAAAGCACAATTTGTTATGCTGCACGTCACTGCTGATCACAAGGCATGCCTTGGTCTGTAATTTACTCGCTTTGTGGAGCTTGAGCCAACATGAGATGACCTTTAACCAGCAAGGTTTTAAAAAATAATTGAATAAATTCGTAATTCAGGAGGTCTCTTATCTCTCCTCCCACCCCACCCCCCACCTACTGGTTGTCAAAAAACTCTACTGAAGCCTTAAGCAGACAACATGATCCTTATTCCATTTCCCCAATGATTATTATTGTTATTAGCATTTGTTTGCTGTTTTATGCAAAAAAAAAAAAAAGGGGGGGGTCTCCAAGCAACTTAAGATGATAAAATAGAAACAGGTAAAATTAATTAGAAACCACATTGAGAAAAGAGACTTAAAACACAAAGATTCTTAAAAGTGCTCATCCAGCAACACAAATGTACGCCCCTCCCGTGTCCCCATCACAGGATAGGCTAAAATAGCACACAAAGGTTTTTCCTGAAGTGTAGGTAATCCAGATACTTTATGAAATATTAATTGTGCATTGTAGAAATGTTTTATTGTGCATTTTTGGTTTCATTTTATCTTGCACACTGCTCTGATGGCTTGTGATTTATAAATAATCGGCATAATTTATAAATATGTAAAATAAAAAGGGAGGAGAGGAGAGAATGTTCCATCACACCTGTGTAATATTTACCTTAGTGTTACATTGAATACAACCTTATTTCAAGAGATCTATGTTATTCCACTGGTGGATCAGGACTGGACACCAACTTCAACTCTGGGGTGCACTATTGCCACTACAGAAATATTTTATAGAAAAGCCTTGAGCCACTAAATCGCTCATTAACCTACTTGATATAGAGTTCTTCTGAAGATAAAAATGGTAGTGGAGAACTCCATGCATTGAATAACCATGTAAGATGCATAGAATTAAAAATAAAAATGGCCCACTTCCTAGGGCAGAGGATGTTACTCTCAGTAGTAGCCTGTTATTTTCAAGTGCAATATATCTGAACTCACCTGGTTTATATAGGAGAAAGTAATGGCATACAGTCCAGGCATGGCCAAACTTGGTCCTCCAGCTGTTTTGGGACTACAACTCCCATCATCCCTAGCTAACAGGACCAGTGGTCAGGGATGATGGGAATTGTAGTCCCAAAAACAGCTGGAGGACCAAGTTTGGCCATGCCTGCCATACACTCAGGGGTGTAATTTGAAGCCTCTGGCAAGCAAGGGTTTTTCTCATCTGAACCCCCAGCTCCAACCATTGACTTTGTCCTGTAGAACTCAGTGGCATTTTGGGAACATGCTCCTATGGAGATCCACTTGCTCAGTCTATACCGTATCGCTGGCTTTTGTTACAAGGCAAACAGTCCACTTTTGGGGTTACAAAATTATCTCATCTGTAGCCTTTCAGAGTACAGTAGTTTGGCTTGGGCATAATGTATACCATATCCCATTTTTCTGGGTACCAAGAAGTTCCTTGAACACTGCGGGGTATGTCATACTACTATTGAGAGACTTTTAACTTCTCTAAGAAGAATGCCATGATCTCTGAATATACAAATTCAGTTCTTGATAGAGCCTAGAAATAGTTTTCATACTAATTCAGGTGTCTTGGGCTACATGTATACAGAATTACTACCCAAAGCACATGGCTAAATGTACATATTTCAAAATATGTATCTTTAAATAATATATTCCTCCCCCTACCTTTTGTGGCCTGCCCCCCAGTAAACAGGAAGTAATCCTCTCATGCTATTATTAGACACTCTATAACTTTGGGAAATGATTTATAGATTATGGTACGGACCCTAAATGCTTCCTTCAATCAAATCACATTTGAACGAGGGTGCCGTCTCCCTTAAACCCAATATGCAACAATGGGGGGTCTCTCTGCCAGAGGCATTCAATACACCAGTTTTGGGCTAGTAGGGTCAGAAGGCACAATCTCTGCCAGGTTCATATCCATCTCCTTCCTGCCCTTGATCCCCCCAGCAAAAAATGCAGGCAGTGTTCTGCTCGTCCAGGTCAGCAGGTCAACACTGAAATAATATTTATGTGTTAGTGCAAGCCTTCAAAGGTTTAGGAAGTGTGGTTTGACGCTTCAACTCATTGTCCAGAACTTTTACGCAGCTGCCTCCATCTCACAGAGTTGACGCAACTTCCACATACCTGCCGCCTCTCAACTTTGGAATGTATATTCTGATTTGCGTATGTATATCACCACACCGGCTAACAGAAAGAAGCACCACATTAGCCCTACTTTTAAAAATGAAAGAAAAAGACAACACTCCGTTTCACTTCTATGTATTTATGGTTTAATTCACTCCTTTAAAGAGAGAATTCATTATTTCCTAGCGGGAACACCAATGCACCACGTTCTCACTAGCTTGGGAGAAAAACTTTCGGTGTGAGAAAGATATAGGATGTGTGTAAATATACATATATACATACACATTAGCACACACGTTGGAGGAGTGTGCCTGTGCATATATACTCTAGGTAAGCACACACATATACACACTGTCAGTGTTTGTGCATGTGAGACATTTCTGCACCACATGCACCCTTCACTGAAATTGGCTTACAAAATATGCAGCTTGCTGCCCCCCCGAAAAACTATCAATTAAAGTACATGATTTGAAACAAATCTTATAGAAATGACATGTCATCAGTAATTTACACTTTAAAAAACTCAGCCACAAAAAAAATCTGAAAGCTGAAACAAGATTGCTATTCATCAGTGCTGCTACCACCCTTAAAGAAACATGGTTTACTATGGGATGTAAAGGCAACATTGAGGTTGTTATAAAGATTAGCCACCTAATTTAAAGAACCAACCAACCAGACGGTACTTCATTTTTTGCCCACAATACACCCCATGAAACTACTCTTCTCACACCTCGCTTACCTTTCTTGTACATTGTTTGCTTCCTGTTCACTGTGGATTATTTCTCCCATCTGCAGTTTTGGTGCCTTTCCCCCCCTCTTTAAACATCAGTCCAGTCAATCCTGCTGG